CGGAACAATGTCGATCCTCTGTAGATTGTTGAGCTACCGACATAAGGAACGTTCGTGGTCCTTGTGGTTGGAATAATCTTGTGGACGCTGCGCTAGTCTGAGTATGGTATCTTAGTTCAGGTAATCATCCCGAGAGTTTGTGGAGTGTAAGAAGTCGCAATGGTCCGAGGACTGGCACTGAGATACTGTAGAACGTTGCTGGTGCTCCGGAACGGTTCCGGAACGNGTCACCCCTTGCTGCTTCGCCGTGTTCTTCAGCAGCACCTCGTGGGAGTGGCCGTGCGCGCAGTGGAAGTCGTTGATGTCAACGGGGGTGCGGTTCGCTTTCGCGTTACCAGGAGCAATTATGGCACAGGCTAGTTCCCTACCCGAGTCTATGCGGTGACCAGTCTGAACGAACAGGTCCCCCCATAGAGGGAAGTACACCGACTCCCCCCCACCAACGAACACCTCCAACTCACGCTCGTCTGCGGCTAAGCGGCCCTTGGTTTGCTTCAAAAGGGCTGTGAGGGACACGAGGTTGTAAATCAGCTCCGGCACATGAGCGACCCGTTTCAACAGCAGGTCTGTGGTCCCAACGCGAGAACCGATGGTCACCCTCACGTCGCCGTAGCCTACTATGGCGAAGGCTTGCTTCCCTGCGGCGACACTCAAACGTCGATCGCACTCATGGTAGTTTTCGAACGCGTTAGCGCTCGGGAACATGTGGTTGGTTGCGCCGGTATCGGCCACAAACCTTTCCTGCCTGGCCTGCTCTACACCCCCTCGATCAACGACTCTGTTCCACTCGCCTGTGAAGTCACGGACCACTAGCGCCTCCTCTTCCACGTCCAGTGCGGTGGCGTCCAAGACCGGCAGCTCCACCGCGAGCACCGCCTGCTCGGACGAGCACTTGCTCTTGTCGTGTCCGTAGCCCAGGCATTTCTCGCATCGCAGGGGCTCGGGCTTGGTACAGGCGGCCGACTGGTCACCCTTCTCTCCGCACCGGAAGCAGCCACCGTGCATGCTACCTGCACCGCCGCCGCCTCCGCCGCTGTTGCCACCACCACCGCCCTTGC